TGCCAGCCGAGCGTTATTGGACACAAAAACGATTTATAAAGTCCCAAGCCCAGGCGACTGCAGAAATTCTTCCGACGAAGATAGGTCCTCGACCATTTTATTCCCCAAGGCTAGCGGGTAAGCAGCGCTGACATGCGAAGCCATAAACTTTTCAGTCAACCTGGACTGTCAAAGAAGTAATGCCGCCGAAGCTGGGAACTTAACAAATAAGGCGTTACACAAGGCGTTACACCTCCAGGTACTAGTATAGGGCAGAAAGAAATTTACTTAAATAATATTGTCTCTTCATACTGCTTACTGCCAAAGTAATCCGAAGCTTCGAGTGATGTAGGCGGGCTGGTCAAAGACTCAAGGTTCGTTCGGAATCAAATTCTTCAGATCTGGGAGCCAACAGGCTGATATTCCACTGTACTAAACGTCTAATTCACAACAAAAGGAAGGAATAACCGGCATAGTGTGGTAGGTAGGAACTGTGAGCTTCAATCCTCCTAGACCTCAATGACCTGCTGTTCATTCTTTCAGGCTCTCCGGTAACAACGTATTCAATTTGTTCTTGGAGTCGTTTTGATATGGCTCAGCCTACTCAGCGGGGGAACCGCTTCAAACTATTAAGTACATATGGGGATTCAGCTGGATTCAGTAGCCGAACGTAAATCCTCAACTGACACGACTGAATTTACAACGAACGAGTGTACAAGTGAAATGTGAATGAGATGGAATAGGATGATACTCTTAAAAACTCTTGGGTAAAAACAATAATAGGCTATAATAGGCGAGTTAATCGCTTGGGCCACAGTGGATTGGTATCACTCTTCTGTTGTATACAGTAGCCAGTGGTGTTTCCAGCCCAGGCTCGGTCCATCAGTCTCCGGAGATCCAGATCAGTGATATATGGTATCCCAATATCAGATTCAGAAGCTGGAGACTGGAGTATAAAGTCCTACACCTAGCAGCGGGCTTTATGTTCCCTGACGAGTCTGGACTTGTCCACACCTCCACAACCATCTCTGTCCAAGGACCAACGTACCTGAGCAGGCCTCAGTCACAGGCTTCGACAAAAAAACCTACGAAAAAATATGCGTCCTACTCTCGTTCTTACTGCTACCGTTCTCGCCATCCTGAACCCCGTCATGTCTCAGTGGGTGGTCTCATTCTATGCCGATCCACACTGTGCGCCCAGTATGGAATTTGATACGTTGTCTGGGTACGCAACCCCTACTGGTCCTGCCAGCGTCCGCAGCAAGAGCCTGACTGATTCAAATGCCCAATGCTTGCATTTTGACACGGCGTTTCCTGCAAACTGCAAGTACGTAGATTGTCTTTGACCAAAGAATACGTTTTTGAATTTGTAATGCTATTAGATATTTCCTCACCATGGTCAGTGCTCATGGTCGCACCAGGCAACCCTTCTTGGGCCCAGTGGATGCTGAAAAGAAGAAAGAGAGTCACGAATTCAACCAATTTTCTTACAGCTGCACCTGAATGCGTGAGTCGTCCAATCTTGGTGATAGTACTACACACGACTTAATATCGTCGTCTCTGCAGGCATTTAGCATCATACATATCGCAATCGAGAGTTAGTTGCCCTATAAATTGACTTTGCCGATCATCGGCTCAGGGTTGACGGTGATCAACTCCAGAATTTCTCGGAGACCTTCCGAATAGCATAACCATATCCTAATGTAACGGAGTTGTGACTCGTTACGCAGGCGTCTAACACTTTCCTTAATTGTTTTGTTTACTCATCGAACTTTAGTAGATAATTCGCTCTTTACTTATCTCGTTTCGTATTTATATAATATCTACTTATAGTAATAGGTCTCAAGAAAGGTATATAAGGTAGAGTACTTTGCTGTAGGTAGATAGGTCCTCGTGAATCGAATTCCCCCCGGTTTACAACGGTTCTATCGAGCTTTCCTCTTTTCTCTCACTTCCCGTGTTGCGCTACGGTGACTCTGTCACTCTAGCGTTACACCTAAAATAAGTACTTCGAATTGTGATGAGTTCATTGTTCACCTAGACTCAAGATTGAGGCCTGGCAACCTTCCTCTGGGAGACGAGACAGTTGGAAATCAACTGGTCTATTTATGCACATGACTTTGTGCCAGGATTTCAAGTTGAGGATCTTTTTATTTGAGGCCTTCTGTCTGGTTTTATGGTCCTGGTAAAAACCTCAAATCCCAAGTGTTGGATCCATTGAGAGAGTGGATGAACTATGTGCAATTCAATTCACTCCTAAAGCCTGCATACTTCGTTTAAGTTACCAGTAACTCTACTACATTATGACCGTTTGAAATCCAGTCCCTTAGAGTGTGAGGGGGTAATGCTCAGCTCTAGGCCCAAATTTTTGTGTTACACCATAGTTTACGCATTGTAGGCACTGAAATTGCATTAAGCATAAAAAATCAGGTTTGATGTGTTATGACCTGATTTTTTGCAGTTCAGCCCGCTGCCATGCTGCATTATGTGTTACTATGGATCTGGAATTTTACAAGTTCAGAGAGGGGCTGCAATACAGAGTATCCATCCAACAAGCAGATTGCCACAAGTCCTAACTAGGTACCTGTACCTAGTTAATGGTGCACAAGACTTCAAGCCCCAGGGTATTGTCAGTGCATCAATATGTTTTCTGTAAAGCATTACCTATTCAAAGTAATTGCATGAGGCCAAAGCGAGTCATATCCTCAGCCGAATCAGCGTATCAGAAACAGCAAGCCAATCAGCGATGACTGATGTCAGAGTACACAAATGGCAGTTGGAGCACTAGCCCAAACGGAATAGTATTTAAATGATAATAGGTACATAGAACAATCGAAGTATCTTCGAGTCTTTATGCCCTATTTACAGCTTCATTTACAGTTTACAAGCTATACTTACTGCAGATAATTATTCTTGTCACTTACACTGTTCCAGACTCCAGTTACGGGTCGCACTCACACTCTCGTCGCTATTCGTCACACTGCTTGCGCCTCGCCGGTTCCTCTGGCCCCTTTCAATTATTTTACACTTCCAAATACTACACCGCTCCTCACTCCCCTTACACTTCACACTCTCCTCACACCAGGACCCTCCTTTCTCGTCGTTTCACTAAACACTCTTACAGGTGACAGTGCAATGCTTTTTGGATGCTTTGGTAATAAGTACTACAATATTTTGACTGGCTATCAACACTTAATATTTAGCATGGTTTATGATCAAACTTCATCCATCCACAGCCTGGATGGGGGCCTCATTGATGCTTCTTTTACACTAATTTGGACCAAGTTGATTGTATGGGTGTCAAAAGTAACATTAACAAAAAATTCCCAACACTGACAGTGCATGCAACTATACATACCCAGTCTCCTTCTGTGCTACTTATGCTTGTGTTTTAATGGTTATGGCCGGAAGGGCATCAGCAAAACATGGACAAGCTGGCGCTGTTATCAGGCACTGTACAGCCGTTTCCAGCGGCCCCCAGCGCTGGATAGTGCTGGAAAGCGGCATCCCGTGCACCCTGATGCAACCTCAAGTATGCTAACTCCGTACCAAGAGCTGAGATTTGAGGTCTAATTCCTAAAGACAGACTATGAATTTTGTCTTCGCTTACTGTGTTATCCAAGTCTACATTTCCCTTTTCTCAATACATAAATAATTTCCGGGGGCCTCCGGGAAGTTTGGAAACGATCACCGTCAACCCTGAGCCGATGATCGGCAAAGTCAAATTTTAGGGCAACTAACTCTCGATTGCGATACATACATAGTGCATTCTAGAGTCATTGGGTACGTAGAATAAGAATAATTGTTCAACAAACAGTGAATCATTTTATGCAACCTTTGTACTTACTTTCCCCCTCTTTCCCCGCACAGTCTTTTTTAATACTAAATGTGTGCCACAAGTTCGGATAAAACGGGCCCCGTATTTGAAATCTGAACCTTGCTACCGCTCAAGTTTCAGCTTTTGAACTGCATGGTCTCTTCTTGCCGTAGCACAACCGTTTTATGGAGCCGAGCAATATAATACCACTAACTTTAAGCTACTACTAAGCTCCAACGGTCTGTGCTTCCCGTTCTTGCACGAGTATAAAGTCAGTCGGAAGAAGCTCATGGTTCTTGTGCCAGAATGTTCGCCCTCTCTAAACCAACTGCCGCAATCGCCGTTGCTCTAGTGAGCGCCGTCTCTACGCTCGCTCAGACTTGTTCCCCTCACTTTTCTGAGGGCACACCCTACGCTATCGCGTCCAACCTTAATGGTAAGATTTTATGATTCTATTATCTATCTGTGTTTAACTTTAAAAACCAGATGAATACATCTGGCTGTTTAATGGCGCCAGCGCAGGTACACCCTCCGCCGTCCATCTGGTACGCGTCGGCCATTGTAGATTCCATTCACTCGCTCATAGAGTGTATACATTTGCAGGAACCCCTCCCTCCCGCAGATTCCCCCTGGTTTCTGACCTCGACTTCTGATGGAGGATGGACCATTTCGTACGTTATCGCATGTCCCTATTATACCGCTGTTTCTTATTCCATTTTAGCCTCGATAGCCCCGCCGTAACCTGCGTGGCTGCCCCCGCAGACGCGCTTTTGACTACCCAAAGCTGCGCAAATGCTGCTGGTACCGACATCGACTTCACCATCTCTTGCGCTTCGTGTACAGACAACGTAGCCACGGCCTGCACCCTCGTTGCTGCCACTACAAACGAGTGTGTCATCGTCCCAGGTGATAGCCATGGTGACCCCTCTATCAGGACACTTGAATGTACGGGCACCCCTGAGGAATTGTGGGACTTCTCCGCCCTTTCTTGAATACTCACGTACATATTGAAGTAGCAGTACATAAACAGTCAATCAATGATATCAATGATATGGACCATTACTTATTACAATGAGGATCCAGAGGTTTAGACTTATACTCGATACATACGAAAAATTTGCAATGAAATATGCTCAGTAAGTTATAGTAAGTTATCTCAATGTTTTAGTCCAACATCCATAAAAAACCATACAGAGAAAAAGCAGGGCCTGACCGGGAATTGAACCCGGGACCTCGTCGAAAGAACGAAACCCTAACAACGAATCATACTCCTAGACCATCAGGCCGCTATTACTGAGTTAGCAGAGCGCTCCATTACCATTAAGCATCGGCAATCGCTGGTAATAGTCGTCGAAACAACAATGAAGTCTGCTCACGAATATAGAATTAATAAAAGAGGACACTTATCGTAGCTAGTTGGCTATAGAATGCCTTAAAATAAATAATTCACAATCTCAAACGATCACTTCAAACAACCAATCCTTCTGCCCAGCACCTCAACACTCCCTCCCCAATACGGTGAAATTCAAAACTCTTCACGTCGCGGGAAACGATTGTCGCATGAGAATTTCGAACCTTCTGCGGTTTCTGAGGCTTCCCAGATTTTCCAGCCTCATTCGTTTTCGTTGCAAAGGAGGCCGGATCAATAATGTCGATGAAAGCAATCTCCTTCTTCAGCCCTGGGAGAGAGTTAAGGCGCACGCAGATGGTACGTTGCAAAGGGGTGAACGTTGGTGCGTCTCGAGATTTGGATTTGGACTCGGGGTCCAGGGAGAGCGGTTTGGAGGAGGAGGAGGTATAGGCGGGAGTGGATGATCCGGAAGTCAACGGAGTGGTATCCTGAGGGGATGGTGACGACCTAGCGGTCGTCGTAGTACCAGGGTCATTAATGGCCTCCGCTACAGCGTTGTCGAACCCCCTTTCAAGCTTCCATTCGAGTGCGCCGAGTGCACCAAGTAAACTGCGACTACCGGAAGTCTCTTCAAGTGCACGAATTCGAGCTCGACTTCGTGTAGTGGCTCGTGAGAATTTGATAAACGCGATGCTGAATGCTAATGGGATGAGGAGCGGGAGGGAAAGGTAAATAAGGATGTTGAAAGGAAAGGGTTTGACCAGGAAGGGCGGAAGGGGTATTAAGGTTTTAGAGGGCTGGGGTGTACTCTTCTTACGGTGTTTCGGTGCCTTTGAGTACGAGACAATGAGCGGATTGTACTTGGGGTCGAATTCTCTATCATGGAAGTTCAATATCTCCACACTATGTGAAGCAAAGCGACTTACACATCGATTCTATCCTCTTCAAGAAACGGATCCTCTTCCTCTATGGCTGCCGTCACATAAGGTACCGTCCTGTCGTTCACTGCATTTGCGAAAATGCGAAGTTGTTTGAACTGGGTCAATGCTTGGTAGAAGATATGAGACGGGTCAGACATCACGTCGATTAATGGGCGGTCGTTTTTGCTCCATTTGTCCTGAAGGTAAAATTGCTCCCCTGTTCTGCTGAGCAATTTCGGACCTAGTTTATGAGAAAGCGCTGAGAAGAATGTCGAGTATCGGGGAAGTCCAAGATGCGGGGTGGCAAAGGTGTTGAAGTTCATCGGGATCATGGATATACCTTCAGAGGTATCTGCCTTTGAGCCGGAACTTGGGTCGGAGCTGAACAGCCCTCGCTGAGCAAGGATTCCGACAACATATCGAGAAACTAATCCTCCGAAACTGTATCCTGTGATACTGAACTTGCAAACATGTTTATGCTCGTCGTTTTGTATACGATGGACTTCTTGAATAATCTGTGGGAAAACATGTCAGTATGAAAATCGACCCCGAGTAAGTGGTGAAATACTCGCCTCTTCCACGACCCTCTCTGCACACCAATCGATCCCATCGTATGTACCCTCTTCACGGTTTGCAGCAGCGATCAAAACACGGAGCTCATCTTTCCCTTTCGAATCCGATGAAGTAAACGTTTCCCTTGCAATCCTTTCCATCTCGGCCAAGTGGCCTGGATTTCCCCACATGCCGTGTGCGAGTACGAGGAGATGGACTGAGCTCGGTGCATCGATTGTGGAAGCTTCCGAAATAGAAGTAGATGTCGGAAAGTCTGAATTCGGTGTCGAAGCCATTCTAGTCCAATATTAAATAAAGTAAATAACGAAGGCTTCCTATTCTTCCTATTGAGTTGCGCTCCAAATTATGAAAGTGAAAGATTGAAATAGTAAATGGTCCTCGAGAGAGTTGGTGGATGGGGTGATTGTTTAGAACAAGTTACAGTCAGGGAGTGAAGCAGTGAAGCTGACGGCGTTGACCATCATGGAAAGACGTAAGCGCCCGGCCGAGATATGATAACTTTGATTACGATCTGACCGAAGCTGCCGAAAGGATGGCTGACGATCATTGCTACGGTCACAGCATGTCGTGGATATCAATGGGCTCGATGAAGCAATTCCGACCTTTCAACTGACAATTATCTCTTTAAGGTAGAACGAGCCCTTGCGCAAGTTATGTATCATATCCCGAGTACTCTTAGACCATATAACGGAACTGGACGAGCTTGGACGTGTAGTGGTAAACATAGGGAGAGGAACAGTCAGGCGAACTTTCAAGAAGGCGGAATTCTAACTTGCGCATCGTCTTGTTCATTTTCGCATCTGATTCATTACCGGTTAACTCCTCCTCCCCTTCTGCGATGGTTGATCAATGTCAGATTCAACGGGCAACTTCGTTGATATTCAGCACCCGTCGCGTCATGCCGCGTGGCGACAATGGGTGTGGGTTGGATGTGGGTCCATCACCGTGACAGCAAATAACCATGAATATCTCTCAGCGTGAATTCGAGCTTGATCCCGACTTGCAAGCACAGGCTATAGGTGTGTGCTCACTCTATAAGGTATAGCTCTCACTGAACTCCCTCTTAGCATTGGCAAACCCTAAATTGGAGACCATCCCGATTGACTCGTACCCACTACGCGTGACCTCCACATTATACATGTCCGGTTCTCAAAAGGACTACTACGAATTTGGAGTGTCCGTCTTTCTAGTCAACAGTGAATTTGCCCTCTACGATTCTGGTTGTCTCGCTATTGTGACGTATGAATACAATGAATCTGTGTCGCAATGCCTGGAAAATGAGATGCTCAGAAAGGACCTTACCATGCGACCGATACCACCAGCATTCTTCCGTAAAGAGGTATATCATTCGACCAGCCATAATGGGTTTTACTCACGTTTCATAATACAGATACAGGCTAAGCTCAACTTGAACAACACTGCAGAGCATGTCACTTTAAAAACAGGAGACGATGAACAGATCATCATCGATGTTAGACCCTTCCGTCTAGGATGTCTCTTGCCCCAGGGGATGAACCACCCCACGATATTACTTTCAGAACTCCGTCGACAGCCTTACGATATATATACAGATGTGGACGTTGTCACACTGGCGAACGAATCTGGTAACAACACGCATTACGCTTTCAAACAACTCAGCTTCTTGGATGACAGATTTGGCTCGCACTCCAGTTACTCGTATGCCGAGATCAATCCTCTATTGGAGCAGGCTCAATTTATTTTTACACATCCACTTCCTTTCATTGTACATCCCACCGCTCTAGTCATCGACTCTTCTGGAGATTTCCGTGGGTATCTAATGCTGTTCCATCCTGCTCAGTCTTTGAATAAGGTCCTTGAGCGGTTAGTAATCCCCATGAAACCCAGCCTTGAGTTGGATTGCAAACACGCAGCCTCATTGACTCCTGCTGATCATGATATTATCTCAACGGCCCAAAACGAGGAAGCCGGGAGGGAATCTTACCCAATGGCTTTGCAATGGCGCCTCAAGCTTGCTTGGGTCCTAGACATTGTCCGGGCCATTAATGCCTTACATGGAGCCGGGATCTGCTGTGGGGATATAAAGCTTGAGAACATTGTTCTGTGCGTTGATGGCCATTGCAAACTGATCGACCTGCTTCCCAGAGACCTTGGTTACACAATAGCCTACTTGGCACCAGAAGCCACTGCCATCCAGCAATCTACGGAAGATGATCCTGAACACGCCTTGACATTCCCTCGGGATGTGTTTGCTGTTGGTATGCTGCTGTGGGCTCTAGCGGAGGAAATTAGAAGTTTTGAACGGAAGGATCCTCTCTTTTCCCCTTCTCTTATCTGGTCAAGTTCTACGCCACTGTGGTATAGAGAACTTGTTGAGCGTTGTATTGCTCAAGAGCCTGAAGATCGGCCCCCTGTTCAATCTGTGCTGGAAATTCTCAGGCAACACTGGATACAGTAATACAAGCACGTTGTCTTTTGGCATAGATGCTTGTCATAATGTATGTATCACTCGAAAAGAGAATGGTGTTGTTTTTGCTGAATTCGGGTCTGACTCCATCTTGTATTTACGAAACATTAGAAGACGTCTGTGACCAAGCGAATTTTCGAATGCATTTTTTCTAGCCAAAAGCTAGATAACGGAGTCCTGCTGAAAATTTCTTCAACTTTTGTGAATTCTGGACTTGCGAGACTGACATGCGTGTTCCTTGGCAGATGAACAGTTGAACGCACTTTTAAGATGCCGGTGTGTTCAGCTGAAGAACTAACACCTGAGTGTAGGTCTTATTCATGATATGCACATCTAATCCATTTGGGCTTTATCGTTAATGGCTCGTTCGATGTTGGATTCAACGAACGATTACCAAGCTTTCGTGATCCTGAAGGTTTCGGAGTATCTATTATCACTTCAGTACCCGCGTCGCGCCGCGCGTGGCGAAGAGGCTGAAGGTTGATTGTGGGTCGGATGTGGGTCCATTACAGTAAACAAACCATGGATAACGCTCCAAGCAAATTCGAACTCGATCTCGACTTGCAAATGCAAGCCTTAGGCGAGTGCCTATCCTAGGGGTAGAACTCTCACTGAACCCCTTCTTAGCATTGGCAAACCCTAAACTGGAGACCATCACGAGAGTCGACTCGGGCCCAGAACGGCTACTTTTCGTGTCATTGGAGTCCGGTTCTCAAGAGGAATACCACGATAATGGAGCATCTGTCTTTCTGCTCGACAGTGAATTTGCTCTCTACGATTCTGGTTGTCTCGTTATTGTGACATATGAATATAATGAATCTGTATCGCAATGCTTCGAAAACGAGCTGCTCAGGGAGGACCTTCCCACACGGCCAATATCTCCAGTGTTATTCGATAAGGTATATCAAAGTCCAGCCAGCTGTAGTAGTAGGGAGTTTTACTAACGGTTCATAATACAGATACAGGCTAAGCTCAACTTGAAGAACATTGCAGAGC